ACTTTTTGAAATGAAAGACCAAAAAAATAAGAAGAAAAGAAAAGAACAGAAGAAAAATAACATTACCATTTCTTTTCGTTCTTCGTTACTGTTGTCGTTAGGTTGGTTATTATCTTAGTTTAGTTATTTTGTTTTACTGTCTATTGTCATCAACTTGTTTGTTTTGCTTTTTTTTTTGCACCAAAATCAGTTTTTTTTTTGTCAAGTTTTTTTAGCAGCCAAGAAAAGCAGAAAAAAAAGAAACCATATTAAAAATGGCCTTATGTAAAAGAGTTAAAAAAGCAAAAAATAAAAAAAAGTAAATACAAAAAATAAAAGAATAGATTAAAGAACAGAAATAAAATATTTGAAAAATTTTGGTTTTTTTTCCAATTTTCTTCTCCACCATTACCGCTTCGACGGTAAACGGAACAGTTTGTGTGCGTTGTTGATGGCTTGGAAACTGTCTGAATTCGGTTCTTCCAAACGTTAAATTCAGTTTCTTTTTGGCCAAAAACAGCTGAACAGATTCGGATAACACTGCAAATTCTGTCAGACTATTGGAAACGGCAGCAAAACCTTCTGTACATATAAATTTTTTCTTCACCATTATTATTTTGCTACAATTAAAGAGCAGAAAAAGAATAACCTTTACTTTCCTTCTTTTGGTGGAAAAAACTGAACTTAATACTAAGTTTTCTTTCTTTTGGAGGAATAATGAAAAAGGCGCAAAAAAAAAAAGTGGGGAAAAAAGATTTGAGTAAAAAAAAAAAATTCCATTCCAAGAAACTGTTGTCTTTGATTTCTTTTAGTTGACTCCAAATTTTTTTTTTTTCATTTTTTTCTTCTGTGCTTTTCATACTTTTTCTGATGTGATTATTGAAAGAAAAATAGAGTTATGTAAACTTTTCACTTTTTTCTTTTTCTTCAGTTTTTTTTTTTTTTGACTTAATAGTTGATTTTTTTTTAAACAAATAATATATTATTCGTATTTATAAGTTGTTGTTTTTCTTCTTTCTCGCTTTCTTTTAACTGCAATAATTTATACAAAAAAAAAATCAAGCGACAAATACTTTTTTTTTTTTTATTGGACTATATAAACAACCGAAACGGCAACGCCTTAAAACCATATCAGTGCAATGCTGCTGTTGTTTTTTTTTTTTTTTGTTCACTTTCTGCTAAGGGTTATTATATTTTACCAAAATTCTTGTTCTGCTTTTCTTTTTCTGTTGTTGTTACTGTTACCGTTACTATTGCTGTCGTTATAAATCTATTCAAAATACCAAACCTAACCTATTACACATACACACACACACACACACAGACACACATACAAACAGCTTATATAAACCGAATAATAAGTTAATGCTTAGCACATTTGTTGCTCTAT